TTGAAATAATGAAGACCATTTGTGAGAAGGCGTTCAACAGGAGTTTTAAGTGAAATGGCTGCTAAAATTCTTAAGCATGAGCGAGCTGAAGAATTTCATTTTTGAAAACTCACAGTAAGAAATTAGAAGCCTCTACTTTTAACAACACTAAATGAATACGAGTTTTACCGCCTGATTAGGCTGCGTTTTTGCATGGGCCAGAATGCTGGTTATTTCAATAAATTAAATCAACGCTATTCTTTTTTCATTCAGTTTTAAAAGAACTGCCTCAAAAATAGATAAACGCGTTATGTTAAGTTATTTATTGTAGTTCAACAAACGCCCTGAATTTCATTTTTTTTAAACTCCACCCAAAATTCCCACGTGCACGAGCCAAGCAAACTCGTTGAAAATTTGCAGCATTTGCATATTATCACAGAGAAAAACCCAACCTCAAATCTCTGTCTTAAATTAAAAAGCCTAAGATTCAGTGTTTTGAAATACATTGTCTTAACGTTCTGCTGACACAGCATAGAAGCTTCAGCAGCGTTTGCTTCAACGGCTAGGTTTCTAGGCTCGTTGCGGGCACATAATTTACTAGACTTACTACAATAAGGTACCGCTTCTCTGAAGCAACCTTAATTGAAATAGGTGTATACCTACCTGCATCCTGAATCTGACTCCAGGTCAAAAATTTGAAACTTGAGTCTCATCACCCTACCATATGGAATCGAAACGTTGTAAATGCAGTTCATACTGACTGCATAGACGCCATCTGGGTTTGCAGGACTTTTCAGCGTATTGTTCACTACTGACCCACATGAAACTAAAATGTAAAGCGATGGATTACAAGACCTTATGTTTCCTTAAAATACTTCAATCGTATCCTTATCCACCACTTAGCTGAATCCAGCCAAGGTTACACAGGAAAAGGAACATGCAAACCCACAGGTTGAGAAGAGCGAAGTTTGTTTCTACATTGTAGTCATGAATTTCCCCTTCAAAGCTAAGCACTAAGGCTTTAGTGTGTTCCGACCTACTGGGAAATTGACAAACCCTACCGTAAGGTTATGTAAGAGTTGCAGAGCCGTGAGGTAACCCAAAATGGTCTGTAACTTGGATTTTTCTGAACATTCAGATTTCATCCAATAAAGTAAGCGTAGAAAATAAGCATTTTCTTGTTTTGAGGTTTAAATATGTCTTAGCGGAGCTCCACGAGTGCGCGAGGCGGCGCGAGCTTAGCCTCATAGCTAACAAAATTTGGTTCTTTATCCATCCGAGAAATTTAAATTTGGGCAGTCACTTGTCTGTACGCCTGTCTGTCTGTCTTCCGCACCACAGAAATGTTGTCAAAACAGGGTATCTGTCGACCAGTATCACATGACCTCATCGCGGGCTCAGATGTTGACCTATCGAAGTTTCGCACAATTTTAAAGAAGCAAGAAATGCTAACACCATTACATGGTTACGTCATTGGGTAAGCATAAGCCATAAGCGAGGATGCTTACCATTTAACAGAAAAATCCGGTTGGGGTGTCGAAAGCATAATGGTAAGCGATTTGCCAGTATACCATAGAAATGCCACATCCGTTACGGTTTGAATCCCAAAAAAGGGCGAATTTGTGTCGCGTGTGTCTGGAACCGAGAAGGAACTGAGAAATTGGTTAATGGTAAGCAACATTCCGTTTGGTTCGTACCAACCGGAATGAAAGGACTACCTCTAAACGTACTCCTCAATTTTCGGTTGGAATTTCCGAAAAGTGACCTTACCATTTACCTTCCATCCGGAATTTCCGAAATTTTCCGTCAAATGGTAAGCACCCCTAGACTGCAAAACAGTCCGTATTTTTGCGTATTCAAGTACGCGCGAGCAGTCAAACAAAAAGGCGTGTGAGCCTCGCGCGTCTCGCGTGCGTAAGACTCTTACGCCACACTTAACCGATTTCTTTACTGATTTTGAGAAAAAAAACCGACTGTTTTGCTGTCTAGCCATAAGCGTAAAATGCTATAAGGTAGTTGTGGGTCAGCTTTTCCGGCATTGGTCTGATAATGCTCCACTTCCAGTTCATCAGTCATCCTATCGTCAGTTTCATTCAACTGAGACGGCTCTTCTTAAAGTCCAGAGTGATATACTCTCCAACGTGGACAAACAGGAAGTAACTCTTCTTGTTCTTTTAGATCTTAGTGCCGCTTTCGACACTGTCGATCATAACAGCCTGATTAACATCCTGGAATCAGAGTTTGGAATTTGCGGTGATGTTCTGGAGTGGTTTAGATCATATTTGACTGGAAGGGTACAACGTGTAATTGTTAATCAGCAGTCCTCCAAGACCTTCAATTTAAATTATGGTGTTCCTCAGGGGAGCTGTTTGGGACCTGTCCTTTTTCTATTGTATGCATCAAGGTTGTTTGAGGTTGTTAAGAAGCACCTTCCATCAGTTCATGGGTACGCTGATGATGCTCAGTTGTACGTGTATGTTCGTCCAGATTCGTTTGCTGCTCAAGATCAAGCGATTAAGGCTATTGAGAACTGCATAGCTGATGTTAGGGCTTGCTTAGTCTCACACAGGTTGATGTTTAATGATTCAAAGACTTTCTAATCATCGGTTCGTCGCAGCAATTATCTAAGGTTACCATGGCTTCAATTAAAGTTGGTGACTGTGAAATTCAACCCCTTAAGCATGTTAGAAATCTTGGCACATGGTTTGATAACCATATGTCTATGAATACTCATATAGGAAAGGTGTGTAGTAAGGCATTTAGGGGGCTTTATAATATTAGGCAAATTAAGAAATATCTGTCTGCAGAATCAACAAAGTGTTTAATTCATGCGTTTGTTACATCTCATTTAGATTATTGCAACGCTCTTTTGTATAAGCTTCCGCAAAATTATCAATATGACCGACTTCAAAAATTTCTTAATGCGGCGGCTCGGGTTACATGCTTAATTCCTAAGTTTGCCCATACGCTCTTCTCACGTATGGTAATATGCCCGTCCATCCTCGTTTTCGAGTAAAACTTCTTTTGAAATGCTAATCGGACGACGTTTTCGTATTTGAATTTCAAAAGAAATTTCACTCGAAAACGAGGTTGGACGGGCATATTACCATACGTGAGAAGAGCGTATATTACTCCGGTACTTAGGGAACTTCATTGGTTGCCAGTGAAATTTGGAGTAGAATTTAAGATTGCACTTTCAGTTTTTTTAAAACGTTGAACGGCCTTGCGCCACAATATTTATCTGAACTACTTGTTGTAAAGCCTAGAACTAGATACAGCTTGCGGTCTGATTCTGAAACATTGCTTGTAATCCCTAAGGTGACACGGAAGACTTTTGGCGATCGAGCCTTTTTCCATGACGGACCAACGGTTTGGAATGCTTTGCCATTTAGCCTTAGAAATTGTAGAAACATTGACTCTTTTAATGTTGAATCCGTTCGTAGTTGTAGATTTCAGATTCATCTACATTCCTGCATGCGTAATGAGCAGTGAATTCACACTCGATACAGAACAATTAAATTTCTACCTACTCAGGTTTCTTGAATTTGATGTAAATGTCTTCAAAGCAGTTTTATCCATTCAAAGATTTTTCAATCCGACTGAATACAGAGAGGTATCGTTAAAAAAATCACTGCTCAAATGCTCATTACACATATGTGAAAGAATGCAGATTTGAAATACTGGGGTCAATTTAATAAAACTTTTAAAAGCGTAATTTACAAGTGTAGCTATTGTTCTCGGATCCTAAAACAATGGCTACACTTAAAAATTACACTTGTAAAAGTTTTACTAAATTGACCCATGGTTGCGGCAACGACTCTACGTATCGTATAACGAATTCATTTTTCAAACAAATCGATTCATTAATTCATGGAATCTATAAGGGTACGCTTGACCTGTTCAACACAGCAAGAACTCCAGAGGGGTTGCAACCGCACCTTCTTGTACCACGGGTGAAAGTCCGAGGGTTTAAGACTGAAGTGAATCTATTTCTTCTTTAACAAATTATCTCATGAAACATTAGTACGTGTATATTTGGGACAGGAAAGAATATTTATCAATGTAGGAGCGTAAGAGTTAGTGTGGGAGAACAGAGTTCTAGTTGTTGTGGAAGCACATGTGATCAGTTGTTATCATAGGACGGCAAGAGTATCGTCTACAGAGGCAGGGTACTGTTTTGCTACGTATTTCTTCACCAGTGTTATATCCATCCTATATACTGAGCAGCATGCATGTCATAATGTCGAACTTTAAACGGGATGTTCAACTGAAAGAATGCAGAATATAACGAATTTTTTATTCTACTCTTGAAAAATTATTGTAATAGTCATATTGTTGAAATTAGTCACGTGCACATCAGACGACCTCATCTGGAAAGAGCGATTTTCTCACTTTCTCTCGGAGAAAGACGTATAATACGGTCAAACGAACGTGTCTTAAATATCAGTACTATGCAGTAAAATCTCAGTACAACAGGGGCGGATCTAGGGGGAGGGTGCAGGGGGTGCGCCCCCCATTCCCGCCCGCCCTGAGATGACTTGCGGTTTATTAATACAACTAATATTCTGCAAAAAAAACTATGTGGTTTATTGGTGTTGAAGTAGAGCAAGAGACGAGTGCACCCCCTCCTAAAAAAAAATCCTGGATCCGCCCCTGGTACCATCTTGTTCAATCCCTGATATCAGGATCTTTATCTAGAGAGCACAGTTTTAAAAACAAATTTTGGCGAGATCGTTAAGAAATAATGCACTACAGCATAACCCCGAATGAAAGATTGTATAGTGTTCCTAGCCAGACTTAGAGTTTGCTTAACGGCAAAAAAAAAAAAAGGCTGAAATTACCTCTAATTTTGGTCTTTTTTATCAATATTACTTGTATTGTTTGTTTATCAGTTTTCTTAAAAATGCCGCGCACCTCACCTTGACCGCTAAACATCAACTTTGACATCTTACCAGAATGGCAACTTACTTATATTCTTTATTTTATTTTATTTTATTTACTTTTTATGAAAGACTCCCTTCTTATTTGAACATACCATTTTGATTTTCAGTAAATGACATCGTGAGCTGGAATCCCACGCGTTGTTCAGAACCACCAGAGTGGAATGTTATTAATGCGTAGTTTCCATTTACCAAAACTACCTTTCCACTAAGTTCGCTCCCACAATATGTACCAAGTGTTCTGCTGTCATCATCTACAATCCTCAAATAATCATAGCTAGAAAGGAAAAAATATGTTTTTTACTTTTCAAGGGCAGTTAAATTCTTAGAAATAACCCTAACCGCCAAGAGAACATAAAAGCCTTTTATGTTCTACTGCGCGCCTCAACTAATTGCGAGTGGTGCTTTATGGTGGAGTTAAGGAAGCTCCAAACGTTTCTGTGGAATATCAAGCCGACGATCAAATTCTTTCATTTTATGTTGCACTTGAGTCACTCCCGAGTAGCTGAATTGCCGCCGTCTACGAATACCAATTAACGTTAAACAAAAGGCTTTTATGTTCTCTTGCTTTCGACCTACTCACAGATGACTAAGGCCTGTAAAAGGGATTTCACTTATCTCAACTCACGTAAAAGCCTTGAGGCGTGAAATCTTAATTTGGATTTTAAAAAAAGCTATGGCATTTTCCAGATCAAAGACCATATCATTGGTCAGATCTCGGTTTAGCCAGTAAGAAGTCTCTGCACCTTTTGAGCCTATCTACGGGCATCAGCAACGAACATTCGATTTTGTAAATAATAGTTTGAATTTTGTTCATTAGGCTGCGAAACAGCCGACTCCCATCGCTCTCTGCCGCTAGGAACATTTCGAGAGAGAGCCGTCTGCGCCGAAACAACAGAAATACCATACTAATGAAGTAAAAGCTGTCACCTGGTCAATAACTAATGAATGCACTGTTTAGGCAGTATTTTAGGAGAAGAAAAAATCGAAGAAATCGTAGAAATTATATTTTTTTCGGAAGTATTCTTTCACAAAATATCATGGTTTCTATATATGTTACTCTGCTTTAATTTTTTCTGCGAGAGCAAATGACACATTTGGGACCCCATTTGGGGGGTGGTTCGTCTCCACTTGATCTGTCAGTGAGGAAAGGGGATCGTTAAAATCTTGCTATGGGGTCAAATTGTGCTCAATGTTGGCAGAAAACGCTGTGTTATGTCAACAAAATTATGACGGCTTTTTGTGTTATTTCTTTTACTCAATAATTACTATTTCTTTCCAAATCAACATTTAAAGTTTTGTTGATTTTCAGCCTTGATTTAAGCCGCACAAAGCGAGCGTTGGATGAGGTGAGCCAAAATTGTCTCAAAAATTCGAGTTTTAAAAATACAGTCTAGCGGATTGTGGCCGTTAAGTACAGGTACATGAAAGTCTTTCAACGCACAAGAAATGAGCGAAATCTATTTTTCACGCCATATCGACCAGACCGCTAATTTACTGGCAGATACTCTTTAATTCTTAAAAGAATTAAAGAGCATCAGTGTGTTTTACATTCTTCTTCGTGTTATCAGTTTCAGAAACTAGGTCTATCTTTATTTTAAAATTAGAGGGCTATTCTCATTGGTCAGTGCTTTTCCTGGCGGGATATACTTACCTGTCAGCCTGGGTTTTTAGAAGCCTGATTTTGCCCTATTTATAGGCGTAATATCACAGATCCGCAAACTTGCAGCGTACAAGTCGAACTTCGGAATTTGTGGGTATGTTTTTACCAACAAAAATGTTAAGTTTTAGAGTAATAAGTATCACTTTAACTCAAGTTCCTAATCTACTCTTACCAAAGCCGAGTCAGTTAAGTGGTTTTCAATTGTTTGACATCTGTCACGTTAACTTTAAATGGCAAAAGTGAATCTGTACCACGTGACCAAGTTTTCTTTTTTCTTGACGTTTACTGTTCATTACTTCTACAAAGAAGTTAAATAAATTGTTTCACGCCAGATTTATCCATAAGAATTGCTTTGAGCTGTTTTTACCTGCTATTTTTTTATTTGAGATACGCTCAACTTGAATCTCACGTTTGCCGTTTACAGTTAACGTGACTCTAAATCTCTCTATTGTCAAAAAAAATTACTTACCCGCATTGAGGATGTAATTCCAGTTCAAAAGTTGAAAAATTGATCTTCAGTGCCTTTCCTGATGGAATGGAAACGTTGTACACACAGTGCATGTTATTTGGGTATTTTCTTGGAAATCCAGGACTTGTCAAGCTGTTGTTTACCACAGAACCACATCCTACAAAATCAGATTGTATATTCCACACGTCAACTTGTGTTCTCTTAATCAATAGAGAACTTTGAGGTGTCGCCCTCCATGTTCTTTTTTCTACCAATTAAAACGAATTTCCTAAATCCCACTATTTTGCCACTGGTTTAAAAATGCAATGTCGCAAACTTACAAGATATTTACCTGAAATCAAATCTGACCTAGGGTGATTGAGTTTTTAAACACGATAGGTGGATATCGAAAACTGCCACAAAAAAACTTAAAGAAGAAAAGTCGCCCGATGTTTGGTAGTTAAACACTAGTTTCTGTTTTCTCCATGTCAACTGATTGGGTGGACGGATAGGAGAAAAATATAGGGGTCACATATTCTGCGCGATAAAAATGCATGCGAACCCCCATAAGAGAGCACAAAAATGCAGACTCAATGGCCGCTTTAAGGAGATGTCCGAACACAGCTTGTTTTGCTAAAGTTCTCCGTATATTCCTATTAGCATAGTTCACACTGCCAAAATAGAGATCAGACAACGCTTGAAAGACCATGAAGTGGTCGCTTACAAGAGGTTAAAACCAATGGAAATCATTAAACCGTCCGTCAGACCCAAATAGTGGTCGCAGTCGCTTACAGGAGGTGGTGGTTTACTAGAGGTTCCAACTGTAGGGCTTTCACTGGGAAAGTTTTGGTGTTTTGGTTAGATGGTCGCTTAATTACGAAAGGTAGTCACTCATGCACATAGGTTGGACTGTTCGATATACTCACGTGAATCAGCACTCTGAGCTGAACTGTAACACAGCATCAGCGATAGCACAAATAGAAACTTCATCCTCCTGTTTAAGTAAAACGTGATGTTAAGGTGTTGTTCATAAGGCCGCGAGGGAGGAGGGTAAGCAGAATCAATGAGTTTCCCTGTTGCAATTGTTGAATAAAATAATTATTAATTCTTCTTTCCCTTTTTTAATAATTCCGAGGAAAACAATCAGGGGCACCCAACGACGGTTTCCTTCAAAATACGTTGAAAACACTTCTTAGGCTATCCAGAGTACTTTTAGATCTCTAGAAATGCATTCTAAGCGGCGCTACAAAATTTTTATCTGTTCGGTCATCCTATGGGAACTTAAGGTGGCTCGACTGGATTTTTTGGGGTTGATACCTCCCAAGTTTGAGCATTAACTACGTCGGCATGAGTAAAGATATCGAAAAAAGGTTACCACAACTGTATTACATAAAGATGAAAATTTCTTGAGATCTGGGTTTTATTGCAATCGGAGTCGCCATGGCAACGTAATGACGCCATTACGTTTTTCATTTATCCTTGTGTTTCTCTGTACCAGGAGTTTTTTGAAGAAATCGCTTAAGGGAGTATGTACCTGCCATAATTGCCTCCATTATGGCAAAGTTTGAAGAAATTCTATGAGAGCGTTTTCGAAATATCTCGTAATGCAGTTTTAAGAATCATCAAAGCAGTGAATAGCATGTTGGCCGCTCAATTCGCTAATATTTTAAGAAAATGATAAGCTTTGGGAACGCGGCTTCATCTCATAGTGGTTTGATTCCATTGAAACCTGCATACAAAAAAAGAGGGGAATTGCTCTGGGCGATCGCGAGTAAGAAGAATTTTATTAACTTGCATTCAGCTGCTTTTGATGCAGTTTTTGGAGGTAATTTGGTCCATGCCTAAGAATTTCGCATTTTTCCAAAAACCGCTCGATAAATTTTTTTATAAATTCGACAATCCCGAGATCAATCGTCAAGAAATATTCCCTGCAAGTTTCAAGAACATTGAAAACAGGGAAGGCTTTTAAATAGGGACTCAAACATAACCAATTTTTCCCCCAAATTTTGTGTTTACAAGTGAGCGTCTTCATTATTCACTGGCATTGTTTTCAAGTTTCATATGCACGTGCACAACTAGCAAAAAATATAAATTTGCATCAAAAAGAACTCTCGATTACTTTCCGAAGAAATATCCGGTATATAATAATAATTGGCTTGTTGTACAGATAGCAGTGAGAGCCGAAACGGTGAACGTCTCGGCTCATCGTGTAGGATGCAATACTTAATTATCTGACTCGGGTTATAACATCACAGAAACTCTCACAAAGAGTTGCTCTGATGTTATAATGTCTCACTAACCTCTTTACCCGGTAATTAGCATATCCCGAAGATTTAACGGAGGGTCCTTTTTGATGCAAATTCTATCTTTTTGCTAAATGTGCACGTGTATATGAAACTTGAAAACAATGCCAGTGAATAATGAGGACGCTCACTTGTAAACACAAAATCTGGGGGGAAAATTGGCTATATTTGAGGCCCTATTTAAAAGCCTTCCCTGTTTTCAATGTTCTTAAAACTTGCAGGGAATATTTCTTGACGATTGATCTCGGAATTGTCGAATTTATAAAAAAATTTATCGAGCGGTTTTTGGAAAAATGCGAAATTTTTAGGCATGGACCAAATTACCTCCAAAAACTGTATCAAAAGCAGCTAAATGCAAGTTAATAAAATCCTTCTTACTCGCGATCGCCCAGAGCAATTCCCCTCTTTTTTTGTATGCAGTTTTCAATGGAATCAATCCACTATGAGATGAAGCCGCGTTCCCAAAGCTTATCATTTTCTTAATATATTAGCGAATTGAGCGGCTAGCATGCTATTTCACTGTTTTTATGATTCTTAAAACTGCATTTCAAAATATTTCGAAAACGCTCTCATAGAATTTCTTTAAACTTTGCCATAATGGAGGCAATTATGGCAGGTACATACTCCCTTAAGCGATTTCTTCAAAAAACTCCTGGTACAGAGAAACACAAGGATAAATGAAAAACGTAATGGCGTCATTACGTTGCCATGGCGACTCCGATTGCAATAAAACCCAGATGATAAGAAATTTTCATCTTTATGTAATACAGTTGTGGTAACCTTTTTTCGATATCTTTACTCATACCGACGTAGTTAATGCTCAAACTTGGGAGGTATCGCCCTAAAAAAATCCAGTCGAGCCACCTTAAATTACAAGGGCTTCACTATTTTTTTTTTCCGAAAACTTTAGGTGTAATTTAACGTTTTACGAAAGTAAGATTTTTTCTGATTCCTCTCTCCATCACATTTTAGAATCCGAAAATTGTAGGTTTCGTTTTTCTAAGAAAAATAGTGTAACCTGGATAGTAAAATATTAAAAATTAAACTTCTGAAAATCGTAGGGAATTTTTTAGAAAAGCTTGGAAAATTGTACATGAATGGAACGTTCATCTAGAAATTTTTAGCCGTCCTCAAGCAAAAGAAAATTTTAGACAATATTTGCTCCTCCGAACAGATATTTTACAGAAAACAGTCGTCGGGTGCGCCTGAATAATACTCTGCGATGAAGTACTAAGGATATAAATAAGATAAAATTACCGCTGTCAACAACAGGAGGAAAATCTGGTTATATTATAACTTTAATCATAATCTGTAAGCCCAAATGGAGAGAAAACACAAGTGACAAAGTCAAGGTTCGCTCTGTTACGTGCTACTTTCGCTTGGTTGTCGGGAAACTAACGAGCGACTGATTGATTTCAATTTAACACAGCGCAGTGGCAAAAGTGCCGAGCAGTGAGTAAAGACGCATTGCAATTGATTGTCGAAACTTATATGCAAATATCCTGCATAGCACACTTTCCGCCTGGATGAACCATTCCATTTGGTATTTCTTTTCCCCGCTTTTACAGAAACGAAGGAAAATATCTGAACCATGTGTGTGGATAACCAGTGCCAGGCTTCCCGCTAAGAAGAAAATGGAAAATTTAGAGGCATCTTATGGTTGGTACAACTCAATCCCGTTACTTTTTCTCGTACCAAAAAAAACTACCATTTGAGTTCGACGGAAAATTTTCACCGAGATCTCCATATTTCCGTATGCGTTCTAGCCAAACGCTGTTTTCCGCTTGACTAAGTGGGTAAAAATAATGTTCGAACAATTTTTAAATTTTCGCATTTTATAGACATCACTGTTCATTCCCTCAAGTCATTTAACGTCTGAAAGGCGGACATCAAATATTTATGAATTTAGATAATTTTCTTTTCAAATGATCCCCTGGCTACATTTAATGACACCTCTAATTGGCGCGAAGATCACGGCATACGCCATCAGTTGCACTATACAAGAAGTCACTTTATTCAGTTTAAAAGGAAACTATTGGAATAGAAATAGTAACACAAAAAGGAATTGCTTCGGTCCATGATTATTAATTTTAAAGAAAACAAGAAAGGGGCGATGAATAAAATTACAACCTTTTTTAATTTAGTAATGGTATCCCTGGCAACGTGTATTCTTAAAATGACATACAAAAAAATGCAAAAAGACCAATTATGAAATAACAGTCCGTCCGCTAAAAAAAAAACATCAGCATCTGTTTCGGGTCACATGTATTGTCGCGTGTTCACTTCCGTTTTAATTGTGCTGGTTTTCGCTTATTAGTTTTCACCCGTTCTTTTCGAACATCTCGGTCTTCAGCTTTTCCTTTTTGATAATGCTTGATGTGGTGCAATTTTACCTATGGCTTGATTTCGTTTTTTTGTCCTTTTATTTGCAATTCATTGTCTTATAATTCTGAGCAAGATTCTGAGAGCTGACTGGCTAACCGAAGTGTATTAATGGCGTGTAACGCACCATTTTCAGTTTTTTTCACGCATTGATGACATCTTTTCTCTTCAGCGATGTTCTATAAAAAATAGTCACAGTTTTTTAACTTTAATTTACAATGCGATTTCATTTGAAATCTTAATATTCAGTTTTGCTTATGTTGCTAATTGAAAATAAAATATATTTCTGAACTTTTTGCAGCTGGGACTGTTGTTCAAATAGAAATCGTCGCTTTTGCAATGCAGGGCACTCAGCTTAGTTTGAGTATTCAAAGATTTAGAGACTTCTTGTTCTTGCTCTCTTCTGGGGATGGAAAAAGACCAGACACGAGAGATCGGCGGAAATAAAGCCGAATGAATGAACCCACAAGATGAGTGTACAAAGACGGAAATCATATGTCACACTGCGCCTAGCTCGGTATTTGAACTTCTCTTTTTCTTTACGGCCAACCTGTCCGTGTTTTTGCCGGTAAGGCACTGACTCGGATAAAGGCGGATTTCCACTTTCGCATAATTTTTACGTGGGTACGCACTTAAATTTTACGCGCCTGAATAAAATAGCGACAATGTATGAAAGGTCACGCGTAAACGTAAAGTTGAACCTCGCTCAACTTTCACGTTTTCGCGTGTCCTTTCATACACTACCTCTATAAACATTTACGCGCGTAAATTTTGCCTGCGTTCGCACGGAAAAAATTACGCGACAGTCTCAACCCTTAACTCAGTACCACTTTCAAAAACAGAGAATAAATTAAATTGAAACCGAGGATATAGAATTGAACAACTACATGTGCATATTTCCATTTTCCGGAGAAGTCCGCGAGCGAGACTCTTCTGTATATGTTCTCGAGTAGGATATTTACCCGGGCTGGTGCGCAGTACTGAAGAACACGGCATTGACACTACAATCAGGTTGAGGTCTGCTGTTTAAAAGTAACATAACTCGATGTAACTTACATTTTTCCCCCTTTTTTTGTATTTTCTTTTTATATAAAGGCTATATGCCTATTGTACTTTGCTTTTAAAGTTTAGCATAAACCATTGGCCTTAAACTGTACTACAATCATGAGCTCTGATCAATTTTTACCGGCAGCAACTCTTCCTTTCTTCTCAGTCTTATAATTAATGTCAGACGGACAATCATGAAATAAAAACAAAACAAACCAAGCAAACAAAGAAAAAGTAAAGTAAGTTAAGGATATTC